AACCATTTGTGAAAAGAAGACTTGAGTTGAATGATAGAGCTGGTATCAGAATGAACAAGAATTTTAATTCATTTGTAGTAGGGGCAGGGGGATATGACCAGCTATCATTTCTAGAGAAGGATTGTAGAAATTACATTGATAAAGTCCGACAATTACGGCTTGGTGAAGGAGATGCTACTGCAATCCAGAATTATTTTCTAAAAATCCAAGCTAACAATTCTAATTTCTTCCACATGATGGACTTAGATGACGAGGAAATGTTTTTTGGGCAGATGCAAGGAGTAAAGTAGCATTTAAGGAGTTTGGCAATGTGATTGCTTTTGATACAACATACTTTACAAAAAAGTATGATATGCCATTTGCACCATTTGTGGGAGTAAATCACCATGGACAATCGACATTACTCAGGTGTGGACTGATCTCAGGTGAAGACATTGAGACATTTACATGGTTATTCCGGTCTTGGCTTACCTATATGAGTGGATGTGATCCTAGCGCAATTATTACAGATCAAGACAGAGCAATGCAAAATGCAATTGAGATTATTTTTCCAAATGCACGACATTGGTGGTGCTTGTGGCATATAATGAAGAAATTTCCCGAAAAGCTAAGAGGATATAAGCAATATGAGTCTATCAAATTTTCATTGCAAAATGTGGTTTATGATTTGTTGGCAAGAGAAGAATTTGAAGAAGGTTGGTGCCGATTCATTGCAAAGTATGGCCTTGAAACTAATGAATGGTTACTTGGTTTGTACGAGGAGAAGAGTCGTTGGGTGCCTGCATTTGTGAAAGATATGTTTTGGGCAAGCATGTCTACTACACAACGAAGTGGGAACATTAATTCATTTTTTGATGGGTATGTCAATTTGAAGACCACCTTGAAACAATTTGCAGAACAATATGAGAATGCATTAAGAGATAAGGTGGAAAAAGAAAATCAGGAAGACTTCAATTCTTATAGCTCGTGGTTCCCTTGTATAACTCTATATGAGATGGAAAAACAATTCCAAGATGTTTACACGACGACAAAGTTCAAAGAGTTTCAAATAGAAATAACAGGGAAAATTTGTTGTAACTTGTCTTCATGTCAACAAGGTGTTCGTGTTTCAGTGTATGAAGTAGGTGAAGATGTACCTTTTGGAGAAAGCTACCAAACTACAACCTTCAAAGTTTCATTGGATGAGGGCAACAATGATATGAACTACAACTGTCAATTGTTTCAATTTAGAGGAATATTGTCTAGACATATCATTTTGGTGCTCCTACATAAAAAGGTTTCAAAAGTATATGACAAGTATATCTTACAAAGATGGTGCAAGACTGTCAAAAGAAGACACACCAAAGTTCGTATCAGCTTTGCCAACTGGTCTGCAACACTTGAATCACAACGATTTGATAAAATGTGTAATGCTTTCTTTGAGGTTGTTGACTTAGCTACAGATACTGAGGATCGGTGTTCAAAGGTGATGACACGAATTTCTAAATTAAAAGAGGAGCTACACAAAAATGTTGATGCTTGTGGAAGACAGCAACCCAATTTCATTGACACTCACAATAATTCAAAATCACGTGAAAATGATATTGGTATTTCAAAAAAGAATAAAAGCATTCTTACTCTAATAGCTGTTTGTAGCAAGGGCCGACTTCCAATTAAAAGGAAGTAGTCTACGGCTGAAAAGGCAGTGAAGAAAAAGAAAGAAAGAAAAAGGAAGGCAAAGAATCAACGTGGTGCCGAAAACTTAGCCACACAAAGAGGAGCTAAAAATAGTGAGGGACCTAAAGTGAAGGTATATATTTTTTTTTTGGGTTGCCACACTAATTTTAATAGCTTGCATTCAACACTTTTTTTCTAAATTTGGAGAAGGCTAACTTTTTTTTGGATGTTGTTGGAGTACGAGGAGATTGTAGATGAACAAGGTGTGGTCGAAACATATGAGAATGCCACATTAAGTGTAAGAATTTTTGTGCTATTTTATTTTAAGCACCATTTATTCATTTATCATTGTGTGTTAAGTAAATTACAAATAAATTTTAAATTACATATAGGTGGATGAACATGCTTCAAATATGGATGGATGGAGTCCTGAATTTAAGCAACCTATCCTGTGGCCAAATATAAGTGGTTGGCCAATGAACACTGGAATAAGTTTATTTGAGCAACAGTATATGGAACAAGGACAAAGTTTCCATTCATTCCAACCAAATATCCATCCGGCATTTAATCGTGATAATAGTTTTGAGGTATAAGTGAATGTGTTTTTTTTTACTTTGATTTCATCTTTATTTGTATTATTTATTTTACTTTGATTTCAGGCTCAATATTATCCAAATTGGTGGAGTATGCAGTGGCGGATCAGCTGCCCCCACTGAAATTTTAAAAATTTTTGGGGACTAAGTATAATTTTAAAAATTTTAAAATTTATTAAAGATTTGTCCCCACAGAATTTTTTTTAAAAGATTTATTAGTATTTATGATATTTTGACAAATATATGGGTCACTTATAAATGTCAAAAAATTCCTTTAAAAGGCTAAATGCCTCCATTTTGTGTTAGATTAAATTATTTTAATTTGGTGTTTTGAATAATTTTATTGTGATTGGTTAATTAATTCTTATACTAAAGTTTAACTTAATAAAATAGTCATAGTTTATATTTGTTTCGATTGGTTGTTAATATTCAACTATATATGATTGATTCAAAATTTTTTGTTAGGTGATTAGGTCTTATAGATAAATTTATAGGGAACCTTTTTTTGTTGGCTCTTTTTGTATAGTGCTCATGTATATGAGTTGTTACTTTAATTGATGTTCTATTAATGAAAGGATACTTTAGTGAACATTAGTAATTTGGAAAAATTTCAACCACACCCCCTCTAATTTATCATATATTCAAAAACATCTCCTATATTTTCTAAATCTTTAGTGACACCCCAGTCATATTAAAAATATTAACTAGAATGTAATTTTACTAGATTGCCCGGGATATATTTGATGACAAACTTCATCCACACTCCCTCTAGATAAACATATCTTCAATGAGACCCCCTCTGTTTTCTAATTTTTTTTACGTATTAAAATTTGAGTCGATTAAAATTCGATTCAAACTAATTAAAATTTGAGCCAATTAAAAATTACATTTTTTAAAAATTTGGGCTATTTAAAATTTTATTTTAGCCAATTAAAAACTATTTTCAATTGACTCAAATCAAATTTCAATCAATTCAAATCAAATTACTTGAGGTTTATGTATGGACATTTTTGATATTTTAGATAAAAAATTTTTGTTAGAAATGGTAGTTTAATGGTAAGGAGTGTTAGTGATGTTTAAATTAAACTAGAAGGGATGTCAGTGATGCTTTTGATAGTAGATGAGGTATCCTTAAAGATATAATAAATTAGGAGGGGTGTGATTAAAATTTTTCCTAATAATTTTAATATTCATATGATTTACGTTGCCCCCATTGGGCAAAATTTTTGGCTCCGCCCTCGGGAGTATGCATATAACAACAATGCAACCTCCTAATTTCGCCTCAAATTTTGAATTGGATGAAGACCTAGAAGCTCAAAAATTAAAGAATCATTTTTTCAAGTGAATGCATGTATTGTTAAGTGTCATAGATTTGTATTGTTTTAAGTGTTGTTGAATATGGTACTTGATATGAGACAATTAATTTTTGTTTATAGAAATTGTTGTAACCTATTAATTATGGAACTTGTATGCTTTGGGCCATATACAGTCATAGGTCTTGTCAAATGCACTCAATGCTTTTGTGGCAATAGTTACAAATTGCATATAGTTATACATTATTTCTTGATTATATAGTGCTCACTTATACTCGTCAAACTGAACAAAGTTGATTAGTTACTAAGTTAAAAAAATAAAAAAATTAACGAAAAGATTAATTAAAAAAATTAACACAAAAATTACTTAGAGAAATCCGTAAAAATTTAGATAAAAATTAATGAAAAGATTAATTAAAAAATTAACCCAAAAAATTAGTTAGAGAAATCAGTAAACAAAACAATTAAAAAATTGATTAAAAAAATTTAACAAAATACCTATGAGAAAAGGGCTTCATGTTTTGGGGAGACCGAATAACATTAAAAAATAAGACAAGAAAAGGGGAATAGGAGATGGATCTCATTAGACTTCACGTGATGGCAGAGCAAGCACATGGTGGGACTCATCAAATGACATGGAGTGTGCCATGCCATATGTTGCTGATTTTGGGATTTGTTTGGACTATATAATATTGCTCTTTCAAAAATATAGGCTAAATTCCTTCCAACAAGAAACGCTGAAAATGAGAGTCACCATCCATAATCCTGCAAGAACACAAATGAAAAGTGTACTAGTAACCAACCCCCACTTCACAACCCACAACCAAATCTCACCACCCCACATAATGTTTTAAGTATGCAAAAGTCTTCAAGATAATCTCTAACATAGACTACATGTTATACAACAACAAAACACATTAACCTCAATCGATAAATAAGGGGGAGAACTTTTCTAACCCTTCATGTTGAAGGTGAAGGTGAAGCTGACCTAGGAGTAACAGACCTTGAAACAAACTTGGTAGATTAAAGATGCACAATCACTACGACACCTAGAATAACTTCTGGAAGAATAGCTAAAGGAACGGAGTCGTACGCTTTGCAAATATCTAACTTGGTGCAAAACTTAGGAGTTCTTTTGTCTCAATGAAAATGAAGGACCAGCTCGCGAGCAAGAATAATGTTTTCACTAATGTTCCTGCCTTTAATGAAAGCCGATTGATGAGGACCCACCAACTCATTTGGTTTGTTAGTATAGTTAGTCTGTTGTTTGTGTGTTTTTTTTTTAATAATTGTTATAGTACGTGTGGCTCGACAAATAAAAAGTAAGAGACTGCTACTCTAGGCTCACTTCACTTCTTCAAGCTCTGCCCCTTATTGAAAATGAAAGCACCAACGCGCCTAATTTATATTACATTACTTTACTTAGTAAAGCAGTCTTTCATGCTAAGCGATCTCGCTTTTTGTCTGGGAGGAAGCTAGTGGCAGGGCGCAACTCAAGGGGGCGAAAACTCAAAGAGGTGGAGATCTGGACAAGGCTAGAACCAAGCAGAGGGATGGATTCGGGGAGGGAAATGGGGGTGGTGCGGCGGAATGCGTCGTGCTTGTGATGCAGTACACCAAGCGCTACCCCCAGTTGTGCATGCGGTACTCCATCACCGAGCCGTAGATCCACCTCCCGAGAACATCCACGCTTACATGAAGAGCTACGAGAGACGCTCCTCCTTGAGGTTCTACTTGGTCTAGGAGAAAGGCTATGGGAATTCCTCCTCCTCAAGCACCTCCTTGTCAACGGGGAAACACTTCGAGATTAGCTTCTCCGTGAGCACCTTGGTGAGACACTTCGTGAGTAGCTCCTTCTCTAAAACCTTCGCAACCTTGGTGAAATGCTTTTGGAATTGGAACGATAGCGGCTTCTTCTGCTGTTATGATAAAGCTTTTTAGGTACTTATTTATTGTTGCATACTATTGTATCAACGCCTGTATGACAACCATGGCCATTGACTGCGACTGTGTTGAGAAACTTGGTGTCGCCAACATCACAAAAAATTAATTTTGAAATTCAAAAACTATATGAATAAAAATATAAAACAAATCTCATTGAGTTTTAAATTCATATACGATGGCTTTGATACCACATGTAAGAATTTTAATGATTCGTATAAGAAATTTAGAACACTTAAATTATAAGATTTAGATCATATATGTTTAGACCAAACCTATGTGAGCCATAATATTCGATTTCTGAGTTTTTTTTCGCAAAAAGGGCAAGCTCTTCTTCTCCTTCTTCAAAACAATAGACAGCTCTCAATGAAACAAGTCAAATTAGGTTATGAAGTGGAGAGGGGACCAAACCTGCTATTTATAATGAATCTAATGGGCTCTCCCATCACGGATCACAATTAGATTAAAGTTTACACTTAACCGCCTCAACCACATCAATTAAAAAGAAATACATAAGCCCATCAAAATAAATCACTTAACATTTGACTTATCTCAATAGATCATATATTCAGTCCATTTTTCAAAAACTCAAAATTAACTATCAATTACTAGAAGTCTAATATGAAAAAAAAGTTCAACATTATACCAATTGGAAAACATTAATTGTAGTCATTTAAAAAATGAAATAAAATTATTTGTTGAAAAACGACTCTCGGGTTAATTAAACAAAAACTCAATGTGACCACAAAATAAAACAAATACGGTCCTGATGCAACATCTCAAACTTAACCTAGTCTAATAAAACTACTATTTTCAAATCATGGCGGTCTTTATATCCTTTATTGACATATGATCAATTCATTATTACAAAAAATAATAATCGTATTGACAAGGATCAAGATGTAGTAATGTAACAAGAAAATAGCACCTCAATATATGATCTAATAAATATGATATTTTCATTGTCAGTCATTCAAACGATTTCTCTATAACAACATACTTTAACAATAAATTAGAGAAATCTATTAATTTTAACAATAAGCTAATATGTTTCCAAATTTAAAATCTTAAGATTTTCACAAAGGCGTAATCAGAGATATACTCCATTGACAAAACAGTCATACTTAAGATATATATCAATCCTTAAGATTTTGTATAAAATGACATGTCATAAATATACATACATAAAACGTAGCAAGAATATCGTGCTAACAATAAAGATGATCATCCAAATATTGTTATTCATCAAATAAATGTATCTCAACCAAAATGAGTATCAAATATCACAAATGAAATTAAATTAACACAGAAATTCTTAACTCATAAATAGACTCCCACTAATTAAATACATTAAAAGACTCCAAAATGTCTATGTTGTCAACATATTTTCATAAAAGTTATATGTCTTAGTCCCTTGGTTAAATGATCAGTAAGCATTGATTCTATATCAATATGTTCAATTACAATGTCACATTTTTTTACTAAGTCACTGACTGAAAGATGTTTAATTTTTATATGCTTAGACCCTCTACAATTTTTGTTCTTTGAGAAGATCACAGTTGTACTATTATCACAATAAATTATTAGTGGCCTAAAGATAAAATCTACAATAATAAGCCTTGAAATAAAATTTTTTAGTCATGTAACTTGTGTTGCAACTCTATAACAAACTACAAATTCAACTGTTATAATGGAAGAAGTTATAAGAATTTGTTTAATGTTCTTCCATGCTATTGCTCTTTCAGGTAATATGAAAATATATCTTGATGTGAATTTTAAATCATCCAGCCAACCAAAAAAATTTGAATATGAGTAACCAATCGTTGTTCGTTCGCAGACCGTCTCTTAGCATAAGCTCATAAGTATGCTGTTTTATACATCTGTATGATCATAAATGGACCTATATTTGTGCCCATCTTCAAAGAATTTCAAGGTTGGATGACACTGGAAAGAAAGATGACTGTCGGTCTACAATTTTGTTTTAAGCCTGTTTCAAGCACAAATTGCTGCTAGGATCTAGTTATTATAATTGGTTTTCAAATTACTAGTATTGGAGATCTTTCACTGATAAAAATGGGTGCGAGTTCGAATCTAAAAAGCTCTTGTTCAGCCTGCAAGTCGTGAACAAATTGCGCCCATTTGATAAAGAATAATGGTATGTAACATAAATTTATAACTCAAATTTACATTCCAAATCAATAGAGATCATTGGATCAATGATTCTCATTTTAAAAAATTGATGGTTCCGTTTATTTGGGTTACATAGTATTTTTCTTTGATAAAATACATAAATGAGCCAAAAGTCATCTTGAACATGAGACGCGATTCATTTTAAATTTGGACACATGCTAACTAGAGCCAAGCGGAACCTGGACATAGAAAGAAAAAAAAAGGAGGTCGAGACAAGCCTGAACGTGCTGTTTGAGCTCGGGTCGGGTCAATTGTACCCCTAGTTGGTGATCGCTTCTAAATAAATGGAAGCAAGAAGATGGAAGGTAGACCCACTTTGGTTAGCACTTCCTTTTTTCACAGGTAAATGATAAAAATAAAACCCAGATTAGTCCTCATTAATGAAAGTCAATAAGGGGTAGATTGGATATAGACTTAACTGAATCAATGACCCTGTGGTTTTAGGGTAAATAATCAGCACTTCAAAATGAATCAAAATTAACATATCAAGTCACATGTCAAGAGAAAAGAAGACAAAATGAATCTTGCACTGAACATAAGTTAACTAAACCATTTAAATCCGTTACAAACAACCAATATGTTTACGAAACAAACGCAAGTAGTGCAGTAAATGCAAATCACTGAGCTTATTAATGTATCATCTTTAGGTAAATATTTTTACAGACGTCTTTTGTTTTTCAGTTTTTTTTTTTGTGATTTTATCGACTTGTCTATTGAAACTTACAAGAGAGGCGTAACAGTAGGGTATCGTAATTGTGGTACGCAGCACTCCTCTATGTTCCAGATTTCCTTTGCATACTGGGATATTGTCCGGTCACTACTGAATTTGCCACTCCCAGAAGTGCTTAAGATAGACATTTTAATCCATCTTTTCCTGTCCCTGCATGTAACAGATCAAAATCCACCGATCAGAGTACTAATATAGCCATCTATATATCTTCTTATATCCAGCGTTTGCTCATTATCGTCGTCATATTATTTATTTTCTAGAATCAGAACAGAATCTATTTTGTGCTTCAACTTTGTATCGCCAGATGTAATTTTGCCCATACAATTTATCAGTACCCATTGGAAACTTGGATGTTAAAGCCTGTTACACAGTTGCAGTAGACAGGGTATGAACAAATAGCTAGCTAAATGATCAACTTCAATTTGAACATTTATCGAGGTTGGTCAAACTTGACCAAAAGTTTAGCATGATTCATGCTGGTTCTGCCAAGCTCGATATTGTTCATGACAGTGATTGAGAATTTACATTTGTCAACTCTTAAAAGCAGGATATACAGTTATCAGGTCATTTCAGAAGACTGAGCATTAAGAATATGAGAAAACAGAAAACATGCAGTGAGATACAAAACTAAAATAATGACCACTTTGAAGCTTCTGAAATGTGACTTGTGTACGAAAAAAAAAGAACTTTCTAGCTTTAAGTATGTTTGCAATCCTTCTATGAAAGCAGATATAACGCCAAGTTGCCAACTCAAGCTGTAAAAAAGTTTCTTAATGTTCTTTTCAATGGAACTTTGTTAAGTCTGTAGTGATTGCTGGCACCTAGAAGTCACTTTGACCTTTGCAATTAAGTCATAACTTTGTGACAACATCTTCCTCCAATATACAAATGAATATGACCATACATTCAATCTGTAGTTCATTAGTCACCGCACTAGTATTATGTCACCCTTATTCTATTTATTCTATGCAGTTTAGTATATTTTCTAGTTCAAGAAATTCTTCATTGAATTGTTTTGATGAAAAACCTTTTAATTATTTAGGATACAAACATTTCCAGACATAAGTTCATTGGAAGGGTATCAAAAATCATTTATGTGCCGAGAGAAAGAAGTAAACTGAGAGATTTACAAAGTCTTAAGCAAGCCTTCAATGCAGTGATATCTACTCCCCCCCAACACAATCATATTCAAGGCGAGGAGTGTAAACTTACTTGTAAGCTTCATCCACTCTTGCCTGAGCATCCATGTAGGTAGGAAAGTCATGACCAACAAGAAAATAATCACCACGACCATAACCTGAGTTCCCCTCCAGAGACTCGAGGAGTGGGTTATAATCGTAGTTTCCAAACGCTCCAGATCTTATAAACTGTTTCGCCTCTTCAAACCTAGGGTCAGGCATAAACTGCATAATCAGCAAAAACAAAAACCGTGAACAAGGAGAAAAGTGGCTGCTCACTAAATGAACAATGAATTCAAAATAACCATAATGAATTTGGAGAGGAGGGACCTGATAGTGAGTATATGACAGGGAGTCAAAAACTAGTATAATGTAAAGCGAAATTACAGAAAGAATTACTCCATGGATTAAAAAACACAGCTAGTTCACAACACTGTATTATTGAAGTTCAGGACAACCTTGGCAACTTTGGACCTAGCATATTGATAATCATGTAACAAATCCATGCATTCCAGGCCATAAACCTGTCAGGCTAGTGGTCTGCAATCTAGTCAAAATTAGTAGCTGCCTGGTTTTTTGGCCTTATTGAACACCTGTACTGTTCAATGACTTGGAGGTATCAACGCTAACTGATCAAGTTGCTAGGTGTTTAATCTAGACAAAGAAAGTCTTTTCAGCTGTCCACCCAAGTTAGGAGAGCTGAATTGACAAGTCTTTAAGATTGTTACTAGAGCCATTCAGCATTAACCCTGATACTCAAATCGAAATAAAAAATTTATAATACGCGACAGAAGATCCAAAGATAAGGAAAATCAGGAGCTTGAGTGAGCATTAAACATGGCCATAGGATGCCATTGATCTGTTCACCGAACATTAAGAAATTGTAGCTTCGTACCAGTCCATTCTCTCTTTCTTTGCGCAAGTGAGGGACTTCATCTGCTGTTGCACCAAAGAGAAAAAAATTCTCCTCCCCAATTTCCTCCCTGATTTCCACATTAGCACCATCCAATGTTCCTATAATAAGGCATCCATTGAGTGCAAATTTCATGTTGCTTGTGCCACTTGCCTCCATGCCTGCTGTGCTAATATGCTGCGATAACTCACTTCCTGGAATAAGGATCTCCGCCACTGATACATTGTAGTTGGGAACGAAAACTACCTGAGAATTATTTGGATACGAAATATCAGTTCTAAAGTGACAATATCATTGAATAACAGAACAGAAATTTT